CCCCAAAACCCCAAAACCCCAAAACCCCAAAACCCCTAAGAGAGCGTGACAAATTGAACAAAATCTTTTAGCCACTATTTCAAACTCTATGCTTCAACAGATTTCTTCAATTTGAGCAAATCATCGTATTGCTTTACAAGCATCTTGTTAACAAACGCAGTTGGGATACTTCCTTTCGGATCTACCTTGCCTATGTTTGATAGCATGCAACTATGGAAAGGTTAGATCTCAGCAACAAAAAGTGAAGCCAAGAGCTCAGTTTTAAGGATTTTAGCTGAGAAATACTGTATCTTGACGACAACAAGGGATGGTTGAAAGGAACCTGACTCGGCATAATAATCAGTTTTAGGCTTAAAAATTTGTAAAGTTAAAAAATTATAGGTGGAAGTGATATAATCAGGAAAATTTTAGTGAGGGATAAGATACCTTTCATCTGAGATCGGCTTCAAAATGAGGAGGTTGATCTTGGCCTCCGCTCTGACGCATTTAGTCTTAGGGATATCCTCATGCTCTATTGAGAACATAACGTGGGCTATAGATCCATCTGTGAGATTCAGTCTGTTCCAAAACAGGCACATATCTCTATTAGTGACCAAAAGATTTCCTTTGATTTCCCTTCTAATAAGCTTTGCATCTTCATTAAACTTCTTCACAACATCACTATGCTTCAACTTATTATTATTCGCTATTAAGTTATTAAACGACTGCTACGCCTTTATTCTTCCCCAAACTCCACTCAACCTGCCAAATCCCCTCTAAAAATACCTCCACCAAAGATTCTCTTCCAATCCTCACCACCCCACAACCCACCCACCTACCCTCTCTAGCACATTTTCCTGATCACTCAGCCACTCATCCACAACCTCTGCTGACTTCTCAATCACAGCTTCTCTTCTAAACAACTTAACTCCTCCTTCCTCTGCTTTCTTAGTCCAAAGCTTGGCTTCTTCCTTATCCTAAGGCTAGATTACTCTGTGCTTACTTTCTTGAGTTCCCACTTTTCGTCACTGAAGAGGGTAATTCCTTCCGTGAATTTCTCTCTTGACTTAAGAAGAAGGGCTATATAGCAGATTAGAGGGATTTTTAGGAAGAAAGTTGGTTACTTAGAAGTTCTTCGGAGATGGATTCTTCGAGAGTGGGGGCGGGAGGGAGGAGAGTGGTGGCATCGACTGGGAATTGGGGGGATGTACTCTCCATGATTGATTTTATGGGGATTTTTTAATTAATTTTTGTGAAGGGATTTTCAACTTGGTGTTAGGGGAAGGGGTTTTGGGGTTTTGGGGTTTTGGGGTTTTGGGG